TGACAATGATAGTGGAAGCCGGTCCAAGGTTTTTGGGTTGTATGGGAAAAGTGGGAAAGTTCTACCCATTTGTGGGTTGTTTAATAGTCATAAAATCAGTAACAATCTATCTAATGGTTCTTGCACAGCTCCAATGGTTATATCATTGTACCAAATGCACATTGTCGTGTTTTTGTCTACTCCTATTTTTTACACTATATGACTAGTTTTGTATTTTTATGTCAAAATTTGATGAATGTGATTTTTGCTTGGTTAAAAGAAATTTGGAATCATGTCTATGTCCCCCGTGTAGGTTTGCACTTTCCCATATCCCCCTCCATGTTTAATGCCACTTTTTTGAACTTTTGAATGCTCACTTGAATCATGTACAAATTGTCACGCTAGAATTGAACCGTTTACTTCAGAATTGGTGCAAAAAGATTCGAGATCTGCTAGCTCATCCGGATCACCTCTACATGCTGCTGCTACTAGCATCCAAAAAGCATCTAACAGACACACCCTTCATTATGGGAAGCACTCCTTCATTATCCGTAGATTCCATTTTTAGCTCCCGTATATGTATGCGTACACACGTTGGTATGGATCCTATGCTTTGTTTAGAAAATGCACAGATCCTATGTTGATGGCTTGATTTGGTTAACGAGTTGTTGGAGCATCCTGTCAGTAAAACCGTGTTACTCCCCTAAAAAAACTGTTTTAGACTTGGTTATGTCTCAGTCGATCTAGGATCGTTCGATCTTGCGTGAAGATCCATTTAAAATTTTATTTTTAGCTTTTTCTTTTTTCTTCTTATATGGTGCTACTCTGTCACTTGACTCAGTCAACTGAGGCCTAGCCACACCCTAAGAAAAAAGCTTGTTCCTAACAACGTATATGTTGCACCTAAGCACCGGCATGGCATCATGACACCGGCACGTTCCCATGTGTACGTCTCAGACAGACTCGTGCACTATGAGGCGCTGTCCCCGGGTCAGATTACCAATTGCTGTCAAAGAAAAATAAATTACTTCACTCGACCGGAGATGCACTGATCAATCTACCACAGAATGTGTGATCACTAATTATCTGCAATCCTATTAATTACACGACGAAAGATCTGCATGATCACAAAGACCAAGGAGAAACTCACAACCAGAGAAGCTAGTCACCATGAACTGCAAGATATGCACAATGCACAACCCTTCTAACAGAAAATCAAAAAATTCTTATACTTTCTACTGTTCCATGATAGACCAGCCGATTGATCAATCAATCGACTTCCGCCGCTAGAGGTGCGGCGCGCAGGCTCGGCAGGTCCCTGGCGTCGTGCGCCACGGCGGCGACCACGGCCAGCGCGTCGACGTTCTTCCTGCTGCTGGTCGGCTCGGTGTGGCCGAGCTTGGGCGCGCCCGCGCGGCCGTTGGTGACCACGGGAACGGACGGCTGCGCGGCCTTCTTCCTGATGCTGGGCTCGGTGCGGCCGAGCGTGGCCGCGCCGTTCGTCCAGCTCCTGCCGGGCTCGGCGCGGCTCGCGCTCCGCTGCCCGCGGCCCTTGCCGAGGTGGTGCTCGCAGAGGGAGTAGCCGACCAGCGTGGGCTGGCTGCAGCGCCACCCGCGCCCGTTGACGCGGCTGCACCGCGACCCTTCCATCAGCACCGGCGGGCCGCGCCGCCTCTTCTTGGCGCCGCCGCCGCCAATCTTGATCCCTTCCTTGACGTCCACTGGCAGCACTGGCATTGTCGGGACGACGAGACGTTCTCCGGCACCGATCACCGGCCGCTCAGGCACGTTGCGGTGTCCATTCTCCAGGCTGCATTGCAACATGTAGGATTAGCAAAAAAATTGGCCCGAAGCTGATGACACTAACATATCCGACGGAAACGAACATCTAGTAGGTGGTAAACTGGCTACAGTGGCACACACACGTACAGGAGTCCCACATCGATCGTCTGAACGGTTCCATCAAAGATGCAACGAGAAGCCCAGTTGCAACCACTACCAAGTAACCCAGCATGTGATGCGATGCAGGCCAGTGCCAACAAGATAGTAGTATTAATCATGCGCGGTGTATACATACATGTGCAAGGAGACGGAACAGATCGTAACGTGCGTCCACAGGTACATGGCCCATGCATGTCTCCCCAAGAACATGGGGTGCATCGCATCGCATCGCATTGCACCCATGGAGGGGAGGACGGTGGCTAGTGAGTGCAGATCGCAACAATGCGGGCATGGGTGGGGAGGAGAGGAAGCGGACAAAGCCACCAGGCTGTATGCCCATGATCGTCGAGATCCTCGCACGTCGGCATGCAAGGGGACAAAAGTAATCGCACGACGAACTGGGTGCATGAGTCATGAGTGAGTGCACCGAAATACTACCGTATGCTTCTTCTTTTTTCTTGTATATATACTAATAGAATACGATATAGAGTATATATAACATGTACTGACAGTGTGCCGCGTCGCCAAGGAGGATGAGCCAGTGGTATTAAAATGGGGTGGAGTGGTGCGTGTCATGTGCCGAGCTGGCGCTGCATTGCACTGCCCCCACTAGTGCTGCATGTAAAACAGCAGGGAGGCCAGCAAGGCCCATGAAACGGGAAAGAGGCCTTGGATGCTTTCCGGTTCTACTCGATCCATCATTGCCGCAACCAGTATAGTATCATCGGCCATGAGACTCGCACCACCGAACCGATCCGCGCAGGCCGGTGGCACTGACACGGGACGCTTTTGGTTCGTCGTCGTCACAGCGAGTCACGTACCTCTCGTGTGTGCGGGTGCGGCCATCTGCGGCAGCTGCCCCTTGACGTTGCGCACCGCCGCCGTGGCCGTGACCGTGAACAGGCGGGCCGTCGTCGTCGTCGCCGCTGCTGATGCGTCCCGCCACCACCACGATGCCGCCCTGGCAGGTACAAACAGCGACTCAGTGAAGGGCAGCCAGATCTGGGCGTCCGACGACGCCCCAGCTAATTAATCCGGGTGCAACGAAAGGAATTAATGTAATTGGCAGGCCACTACTAGTGTTGGAACGAAACTAGTACTACGATTGGAACGAGAATTCAGGGAGGGAGGGAGAGAGGGGCCGGGCATGCACGCGGGCGAGTGTAACCGAATGTACCTGCGGCCCTGACGGCAATGCGGGCGGGCCGGGATCCGCGTCCGGGCGGAGCGGGTGCGGGTGCAACTCCACCTCCGACTGGATCCTCCTCTTCTTCCCCTGCTCGGCCTCGTCCCCCGAGCGTTGCTCCTCCGCGTTCGGCGGTGGCGGTGGGTGGGGCGCGGTGAACGGATCTGAGGGCTGCCGCGGCAGCGCCTGCTGCTGCTGCGCCTGCGGCCTTCGCCGGATCCT